TGATATAAAAGCTTGGGCTGATTTTAGTAAGGTAAGATAAAGTCTAGACAAACTTGCAGACAAGCATATTGATGTAAACAATGGTCATGTCACAGAAAGATGTTGCAAGTGAAATTGCTGAAGAAATAGAAATATTTCTTGACTCATATTCTGTAGCAATAGTAGAAAGTACCCCTCATATCTACATATCAGCTCTGGTATGGTTCATGGAACAGTCATTGGGAGCTGAACGGTTGGGACAAAAAGTGGATACAATTGAGCTTCAAGAGGAAGGCTTAGAAACACATAAAAAAGTCAAAGAAGTGGGTAGCATGGGAAAGTGGATGCAAAATAAGCTAAAACACATTAAAAAAGAATTCCAAAGGCAAACAAAGACAAGGAACACTGTACATTCACCCAGTAAAGAACACCTGTTGGAGGAGATTGGAGAAATACCCAGTGAGAAAGGTAGAAGACAAACTATGTTAGTTCAGCTTGGAAAGAAGCATATACAAAGGGGCATAATTATGAAGGAAACGTATATGATTGGAAGGGGAATGCAATGTATTAAAATCTTTAAGGAAAAAGCTGGGGTAACAGCCATAGGATATTCTCCAAATGGGAGGTATGTGGCTTCTGGGTCTGATGATCATACTGTCAGAATGTGGGATACTCAGACTGGTAAGCAGGTTGGCAAACCTCTCCAGGGCCACACAAACCCATCCACATCAGTAGCATATTCTCCAGATGGGAGGCATGTGGCTTCTGGGTCTTTAGATCACTCTGTCATAATATGGGATACTCAGACTAATAAACAGGTTGGCCAGCCTCTCCAGGGCCACACAGCCCCAGTCAGATCAGTAGCATATTCTCCAGATGGGAGGCATGTAGCCTCTGGGTCTGCAGATCACACTGTCAGAATATGGGATACTCAGACTGGTAAGCAGGTTGGCCAGCCTCTCCAGGGCCATGCAGACTGGGTCAGATCAATAACATGGTCTCCAGATGGGCAGCATATGGCCTCTGGGTCTGAAGATCATGTTGTCAGAATATGGGATACTCAGACTGGTAAGCAGATTTGCCAGCCTCTCCAGGGCCACACAGCTCCAGTCAGATCAGTAGCATATTCTCCAGATGGAAGGCATGTGGCCTCTGGCTCCTCAGATGACACTGTCAGAATTTGGGATCCTCGGACTGGTAAGCAGGTTGGCCAGCCTCTCCAGGGCCACACAGACTGGGTCACATCAATAGCATATTCTCCAGATGGGAGGCTTGTGGTATCTGGGTCTTTAGATCACACTGTCAGAATATGGGATACTCAGACTCATAAGCAGGTTGGCCAGCCTCTCCAGGGCCACACATACCCAGTCAGATCAGTAGCATATTCTCCAAATGGGAGGCATGTGGCCTCTGGGTCCTTAGATCACACTGTCAGAATATGGGATATTGGTAAACAAGTTGGCCAGCTGCTCCAGGGCCACACAGCCCCAGTCAGATCAGTAGCATATTCTGCAGATGGAAGGCAAGTGGCCTCTGGATCTGATGATCACACTATCAGAGTATGGGATACTCACACTGGCAAGCAGGTTGGCCAACCTCTCCAGGGCCACATAGCCAAAGTTACATCAGTAGCATATTTTCCAAATCTGGATGGGAGGCATGTGGTCTCTGGGTCTGATGGCCATACTGTCAGATTATGGGATACTCAGACTGGCAAACAGGTTGGCCAGCATCTCCAGGACCACACAGACCAAGTAACATCAGTAGCATATTCTCCAGATGGGCGGCAAGTGGCCTATGGATCTGATGATCACACTGTCAGAATATGGGATACTCAGACTAGTAAGCATGTTGGCCAACCTCTCCAGGGCCACACAGCCAAAGTCACATCAGTAGCATTTTTTCCAAGTCTGGGTGGGAGGCATGTGGTCTCTGGATCTGATGGTCATACTGTCAGATTACAGGATACTCGGACTGGTAAGCAGGCTGGCCAGCATCTCCAGGACCACACAGACCAAGTAACATCAGTAGCATATTCTCCAGATGGGAGGCATGTAGCCTCTGGGTCCCATGATTACACTGTCAGAATATGGGATACTCAGAATGTTAAACAGGTTGGCCAACCTCTCCAGGGTCACACAGACTGTGTCACATCTGTAGCATATTCCCCAGATGGGAGGCATGTGGCCTCTGGGTCTTTAGATCACACTGTCAGAATATGGGATACTCAGACTGGTAAGCAGGTTGGTCAACCTCTCCAGGGCCACACAGACTGTGTCACATCAGTAGCATATTCTCCAGATGGGAGGTATGTGGCCTCTGGGTCTGGTGATCACACTATCAGAGTATGGGATACTCAGAATGGTAAGCAGGTTGGCACGCCTCTTCGGGGCCACACAGACCAAGTCACATCAGTAGCATATTCTCCAGATAGGGGGAGCCATGATGATGTGACCTCTGGGTCTTTAGATCACACTGTCAGGATATGGAATACTCAGACTGCTGCTCGTATTGACAGTTATCAACAAATATCATATGTCCAGTCACCTGACAGTCACTCCTGCTTTATTAATGCCCAGGGATGGCTTTGTTATTCAGATCAAATTACCCCAAATCCTCCCCTCATCCTTTGGATACCCCCTGCACTGAGAGGTGGGTTTAGTGATTCCAGGCAAATTTTCACCTTTCCACAAGATGCCATCAACTCAGCTGTCCCTGATGTTTTTTGGAGGAACTCTTTTCCTCATGGATCTGATTGGACTCAGGTCTGGAAAGAGAATGATGAATAATGTTCAGATTGAATATAAGTATAGCAGCTCTTTCAAATTCAATTAGTTTTTGGAAATTCATGTTTGCCATATTTATTATTTTTCATGTTTTAGATCTGGCATTCACTAGTGAATTGCTTATGGAGGTATTGACTATGAAAGAACTTCAGAATCTATGTTGTGGAGTGTTCTCTGTGTATTAAGTTTTAGTTAATCCAGTGCTTTTTAGTTTTGCATCTTTGCAACATATTGCATCATGAAAAAACTCAGGCTATGGTCTACATAATGACTGTCTATAAACTGCCATAGCACTCATAGTATACCAATGGCTGTTTCTACTATATACAAAAAAGAAGCATTTAATTTTAGTGTTGATGACACATAGAGAGTAAAATCTATTAACAGACATGTTAATATTTATGCAGCAAACATCTCGCTGGCAACCTTATCATCCTGAGTGAGTAGGAAAAGTGAGTCAATTTTTTCTTTCTGAAGTCTAAGATATCTTTCAATCCCAGAAGAGATTCATCCATACAACTCTGCTGGGAGACTGTAAACAGGGTTTCACATACAGAAGCGAACCTATAAGCGAAATATTTTCTATAAATTTCGTTTTTCCGGCCTAAATTTTAATATTTTTACAAAACTCTTTTTTTAATCTTATTTTTAACAATGAGCTCTTTCAGTCAAAAAAAAGAATTATGCAATTCGGTTTGTGTTTGAGCCTGCATTTGTCTGTATATTTTTATTAGCCAAAATGAGCAAAAAACCCATAAGCGAAAAATGCTTTTCTCAGCCACCTGTACATTTTGGTGTCCCAATGTGGTTATTTTCGAGCTCAGAGACCCTAAAAACCCCCACATACACAAGAATAGCAAAGGAGAATCCAGATAATCACCACAGTGCTTATGATGTAGTTTTGTACCACTTTTTGTGTAGAAATGGTAATTTTATGATTCTGAGCTATATTGATATGAAATTTTATATTTAGGATCTATGCTATACATATTCAGGTTTTGTATTGACAGATTTCCTGGTAGGGTCTGGGAATATTGTTTTTTTCGCTTATGGGTCATTTTTCGCTAAGGGGTTTGCTTCTGTACTTATTACTAGAGATAGCATCAAATGAATGTAGTAAGTGTCGAGAACGACCACTCCATAATGCTGAGACATGCTGGGAACCACTCAGGTCACACAACAAGAGGCAAGGACAAGAGAAGTAATAGATAAAAGCGAAGTGAGACTGCTAGCTAAGTCAATACAGTGCTGGAAAGTGATCAAACAGTGTAGACAGAAGTGAACAGGCTAGGGAACTACCTACAACAGTGACAAGTACATATATCAGCGAGAACAAGGGCAAGTCCATGAATACTACTGAATAGCTATAGAGTCTGTGCATCAGAAGATCAGGAAGCATAGAAGATCAGAAGTACAGAAGATCAGGAAGCTACTGATGGTAAGGAATGATGGAAAGTACTGATGGAAGCTAATGATGGAAAGTACTGATGGAATATCAAGAAGCTGATGGTGTAGATGGTGACATGGTAACATGGTGTAGACAGGTGTGAGAAAGGGAAAGGAAGAGTCCGACGATTCATGACAGTAAGTATTTTACTTCAAGTGGCAATCCCTTTTAAGTATACTCCTGTATTTGAGGACTGTGACATCATGCCATTTTCACGTGAAACATTCTGTGAATACTTGAGTGGCTTTAATGTGTGTGTGTGTGTTTCAATGTCACTTATATTTAAGTAGGTATCATGGTTTATATCATCCTAGAAGCAATCAAAACCGAATGCGATTTTCTTTCTACCTTTGATATCAACTCCGGCACCCTCAAAACATACCTACTTAGGACCATCTTCTGGGTAACCGAACTACCCTAAATGGCCCAAGTTCCCCAGAATTTCCGGCTTCTCCGGAATTCCTCAGCAGGAATTCCTGACAAAGATCCCGGAATTCCTGACAAAAACTCCGGAATTCCTAGCAAGTATATGGAGCCTCTAGGGATAACTCACCATACCTCTTGATATTTACTGTCCCACATGGCCTTTCCCCACATTGGCTGGCATATGATACTTTAAAAATTTAAAAATATCATAAATTGAACTATAAATAATAAAATATAATTTATTTGAAATGTAACTGACTTAGGTGGAATGTTTAAATCTTAATCTCACTTTGATCAATAGACATATATATATTGTGGTTGTACAATCTACTTATATACATGACATGTTTTCTAGTATATTAGGCAACATGGTGTAGTGGTCACCACCTCACACTTGATCAAAGCATGAGGTCCTTGGTTCAAATCCAGGGTTGTCCTTTGCCCCACGGAATTGCAAGCTTTTTCCTTCTATACTAATGAAGCTTATTAAGTACCACTGGAATTCCTGCTATCCACATTCCTCCCAAGACCCAGGAATTCCCTACTTTAGCAGAAACTCCCCTCTTAATGCCGGAGTTCCGAGACAATGCCGGAGTTCCGATTGTCATGCCGGAATTCCTTCGTTCCCAAGACACAGGAATTCCGCAACTAATTGATCTGACCACGGAATTCCTTGTCATCCTCCCTGGTACAGGAACTCTGTTCTTCTTTTCCAGGACTTCATGAATGTCCTTCATGAACTTCATGGAATTCCTCAACATGCCGGAATTCCGCCACTCGGTCGTATCCTCTACCACGGAATTCCGTACTGTCCAGGAATTCCTCCAAGTTGCTTCATTCAGCCTACGGAATTCCTGCAAGCTGAGTCTACTCAGATATCAATACTTTCTTAGCCACAAAGGTTCTCAGAATGAAAAAGAAACAAGAATATAAATAAATTATGTCTCTAAGTCCATTACAAGTCCTCCTCCTCATAAATAGACATGGCAACGGGTATTGATATTGGCAGGTACCCATGGGTTGACCTGTCAAAATACCTGTGGGTATTTCAAACCCACGGATCAGGGTCAGTGTGGGTCCAGGTCATCAACAGGTCACAGGTCAAGCCCTCTCAGAAAATGCTATACCTGTGGGTACCCGCAGGTATCACTTTTTGCAAACTTTTTATTATTCTTGATAGACAGTACATCAAATTGAAGGTACTCATCCTTGCTACAAATTTAATTCATAGAGTATGTTGTGAATATTATTATTTGCACAGTTATTCAGTGTCTGTTTGTCTAAAAATAAACTATTGCCTTGCTCATATCTCAACAGTCAAGCAGTCATTTTCTCTACTTAGTATCTCATATTAAAGCTATAGTATTCAAAGTGAATGTTTATAACTTATACATTGATCACAAAACAAATATTGAGCAAGCTACAGTTAAAATTACTTTATTTGCAAGCCTTTTGCCAGCTATATGTAAATATCTTTTGTCTTTTTTTACTCATCCTTGTAATGAAGTATACCAAAATAAAGGTTATTTCCCTTGCTACCACTTTGATTCATAGAACATGTTGTGAATATCATTATTTGCATAGTTATTCATTTTTGGTGCCAAATTCACATCAAATAAATTATTTTTTTGCTCATATCTTAACAACCAACCATTAATTTTCCTCATTTAATCTCTCATATTGAAGCCATAGCAGAGAAGTATCTATCTCTAGGCCATATTGATAAGAAAATAATTATTGAGCAAGCTACATATAAAAAGTGTATAAGAAAGCACTCAAACATGTATGTTTTGCTCACTCTGAAGTTGTTTGTTTGCCAGATCTTTGAGAAGTCAGTTTCTGGACAAGTCATAGAAATGAAATTTCATCTGTTTGATAACCTCCATAAACTTGCATTAAAAACATATTTTTATTATTGATCCTTCCCCTTATAATATGTAGTGCCACAATTTTTTAGACTATGAATAACTCACCAGGACAAACTTTCTGCAATTACCTTTAGAAATAAAAAATAGCTAGGTATACTTCATCTTCACAGTTGTGTATGCAATAGTCAACTTTGTTACTCCTGGCCTAACATATAGCAATTCTTTGCCCAAACTCAATAGAAATGGTGTGGGTACCTGTGGGTATACCTGCAGGTATCTGCAATAGATCTGCAGTCTTGCAAACCCATGGGTAACCCTTGACCCGCAGGTATTTTGACCTGTCCCATGGGTACCTGTATGGACAGGTCAGTCATGGGTCACGGGTCAGGAGTTTTTAAGTCAATTACCCACAGGTACGGATCCGGGTCGACCCATGGGTAACCCGTTGCCATCTCTACTCATAAAACAAATCAACCCGAGTTCTCCTGTACTCCTCCAATAAAGCAACTGTTTCCAGCTGCTCCGTCAGAACAGGATGAACCTCCCTCTCAAACGCAGTGTCCCCTCCTTCATACTCTGAGTCGATAACCTCCACAGCCGCAGACTTTTCAAAGTCACGCGCAGCTTGCAGCTCTTTGACTGAGGGACCCCACTCTTTGACCCACTCCTTTTCAAAGTCCTTCAAACCATCCACCCACAGAACACCCAAATGACACAAGTGTTTACACCAGAGCTCCAGCTGATGTAGAACATTAGCATCATCTGTAAACAGAATAATAATTTAATCAGTAGATTGTCAAGATACTAGAAGATAATGCACCTGTGTTGTTAATAGTGCACTTTGCAACATCCCACTCCTCCTTCAACCAACTTTGCATTGCCTTCCTCTCCACCGCAAGTCTCTCTTCTTCTTCCTCGCAACGATCCAGTTCCAACATTGCTCGAATTCCTTGACGGACTCTCTCATCCGCTAGCCATGGCGGCGGTGGCCTCTGCTCTACATCTAATTCATCATAGTTGAGCCCGATGTCTTGCCAAAGTTCGTAAAGACCTTAACAAGTCAGGGTCATCAACGGGTACCTGTGGGTTTGATCCGTGGGAAAACCCACAGGTTTAGTGATCCGTGGGTCAGGTACCCGTTTCCCACGGGTCATTTACAGGTCACGGGTCAAGCTCTCTACTTTTGACTGGTACCCGCAGGTCATACCTATTTTGCTTTAAATCAAGTTATAACCATTGAAATAAATTAATTCAGGTCTCAGATAGATTTGAGTTAAATGTGCAGGCAATCCTAACACTTGTTTAAGATATACACAAGCTCATAATATAATTTTATGGAAATATACATTGATATTTCAGTCCAAACAATTCATATTCTGAGAAAGATACCACATATAATACACCATATTCAAGATGAAGAAAAACCACTCATTTTTCATTTCTAGAAGTAGTGACAAAAATTCAATCCTGATTAATTAATTGAGTTTTTGTAAATTGTGGCACCATGTGTTTATAGGGGAAATGTAGCTCATAAAAATCTGGGGGAAGGGACCTTATGTAGATGATAACAATCTGCACAAATCACATTTCTAGACCCTCTCACCAAGCTCAATGGCTGAAGGTGGAGATGAGAATATGTGCCAGAAGCAAATAAAAAAGTTTTTCTATTTTCTGAATAGACCATGTAGCTGAATTAATATATTTATGTAATCTAGAGTAGTGAATCAACCTTCCTACAAATTTTTAGATTTTTTGACCAAGCTGTTGTTGAGAATGAGTGGTTGCAACATTGGTGAGCCAATGCTTAGAAAGTTATGTGACTTTAAATTTCAGTGTCTGCACAATGTTTCGACTGTCCGTTCTCATCAATGGCACAGTCAAAAAATCCGAAAATTCATACAGAGCCAAATTGAACATTATAGATTGCTTATATGTAGTAATTTTTATCATTTACAAAGTCCCTTTATTCACTTACAATGTTTTATGACTTTCAACTTATATGTATACTTATATTTACTTCCAAGTACTTAATACATAGGGACAATGTAATATTATTTATTCTTTAAAGTTTTGCATAACTTGACCCATGGGTACCTGCAGACTCGCGGGTTTTTGACCCATGGGTCAGGTACCCGTTTCCCACGGATCTTCAGCAGGTCACGGGTCAGCACTTTTTGACCACAGGTACCTGTCTACAGGTCACGGGTTTGACCTGACCCGGACTCGTGGAGGTCTTTAATTTAAGTTCGTCAGCGACGTCGAGTTTGAAGAGTTCGGAGACATCGATAGGAGCAGGAGCGATTGCGTTTCTCAGAGCTTTCTTGATCACGATCAGGTCTTTCATATCCTTGACGAGTTTATTGTACTTTTGAGCTAGTTGCTGAATACCAGGGTCACGTCGTCTTACTGAATCCTCGGTGTGTTCGTTTAACTGTTGCTCTGTCCAGGAAGTCAGCTCGTCATGGTCCGGTCAGGTCGACAGAAGAGAACAGCTACCACTCCGTTGTTTTCTGCACGAACGTTAATACGCCTCAAGCGATTTTGCGCTTGTTATCACGTCTTCGACAGGGTCTTCGAACTACAGTGTTTGCCCCTTGGGTCTCCTACTACTGTAGCATTTCGTTCAATTCGGCAGTCACAGGTCACAGCCGATTTTTGAAAACATCGCCAATAGTTTTTTCTCGAATTTTCTGATTTTTTGGAATTTCTCAAAAAGTCACGTGCTGCCGAATTGAACGAAATGCTACAGTACTCCTTACTCGGTGTCGTCTTAGCACTACGACTACCACCAACTGGGATGTCCACGCCTTCGAAAGCCTACGCCGAGGCCTTATTCAAGGGCATATTCTCTTAAGAACCAACTCACTGGCAGGTTTGCTTGTTACTCCTCCTGTTTTTACATGTCGACGACTGCTTCTACGATGACCCACTAACAGTATCTCAGTCCTGAGCAGGTAGACCTACCCTTCGATGCATCCGACCTCTCGATCCGATAGTCCGGTCCGATTCCACTTCCTGTCTCCGGTTCTAGCCCCTCCCCTGACTCATACCTATCCGTCGGCGACCGTATCACAAGACCTCGTTGACTTGTTTGTAGCAATTTACTGCACTGCCTTAGCTAATTATTCCTCACACCTATATAAGCCTGTACTCTACGTACCTCTACTCCAGTTTTCTTATTGCTTAGACGTAAAGGTCTTCGTAGTAGAGGCTCCTGGGACATCAGTTGTCACAGAAAAGAACAGCAGAATCCAAAGAGTTTTAAAGTGTTTCCCAAGTTTTTCTAAAGTTTCTAAGAAGTCAAGTTTGCCAAGTTTCTTTTCCTTTCAAAGTTTTGTTTCCAAAGAGTTACCCAAGTCGAGCACAGAGCTCAAAGTGATCACTGGGTCACCCCAAAAGATTACCTACCACTTTATAAACTTTTATCCCCATCCCCTACTCGTTTTGTTTGCATCGTCGAGCTTGGCTTCACCGCTCCGATCCCCCCTGCCTGTCGTCGCCGCGTTACAGTCTTCGACACGAGCTTTTTTTTTTTTTTTTTTTTTTTTTTTTTTTTTAATCCGTGTTTA